ACAAAGCCACTCTCTTTGGTTCTCATTTTTCTGCCAACTCTTCTATAAACGATTCCAGCGTACCTGTTCTTCAATCTTTACCCCTCTCTAAGCCTATGCCCTCCCTTATCCTTTCTTCACGCAAAGTTCATAAGGTTCTTTGCTTGCTAAAGACGAACAAGGCATCTGGTCCCGATGGTATCCCTGCAAGGTTCCTTAAGGAGTAATCAGATGAACTGGCTCCCTTGCTTTGCCGTCTTTTTCGCCTCATTCTGTCAACCAGTATCTATCCTTCATCTTGTATCCTTCATCTTGGAATCATGCTCTAGTTCAACTTGTTCCTAAGAAGGGTGACCGCTCTATTCCTTCAAACTACCGACCTACTGCCCTAACCTCCTTTATTGCTAAAGTTTTTGAAACTTTGCTCAATTCTCACCTCTTGGAATGCCTTGAATCTAACTCACTTATCTCTGATCACCAGTACGGCTTCCGCAAGGCAAGATCCACTAGTGATCTCCTGTCCTGTCTTACTCATGTATGGTTATCTTCTCTAAGGAACTATGGGGAATCCTTTATCGTCGCCCTTGATATCTCTAAGGCTTTTGACAGTCTGGCACAAGGCTCTGTTGGCCAAACTCCCTGCCTATGGCTTTACCCCTTCTTTCTGTTCTCTAATTTCCAGTTTTCTTACTGACCGTTTTATATCTGTAGTTGTTGATGGCGCGACATCTAGCCCTTTCTCTGTTACCAGTGGTGTTCCACAGGACTCTGTTCTTTCACCTACTCTCTTCCTTCTCTTCATCAATGATCTTCTACAATCCCCATCTTCCTCTCTTCTTCCTGCCTTTACTGATGATTCTACCCTTCATTTTCCTCTGCCTTTTCTTCACAACCTTCATCTGTTGCTCGTAATCAATATTGTATCACTCTTTTTTCTACTCTTAACTCCGATTTGCAGAGAGTATCTGAGTGGAGCACTCAAAATTTAGTTAAATTCAATACCTCCAAGACACAGTTTCTGGCTAGCTCTTTATCTTCTTCTCCTCCTAATAACCCTATTGTCTTCGAAACTAATGAAATTTACCCTCTTAACTCTATCAACATATTAGAAATCCATATAGCCTCTAACTTGTCTTGGAGGAATCACATAGTCCAAATTTCTAAATCTTCACCCAAAAATTTGGGGGTTTTGTTTCGTTTTCGTCATTACTTTTCCTCTTTGCATTTACTTAAAATTTACAAAGGTCTTATCCGTCCCTGCTTAGAATACTGCTCACACATCTGGGGTGCTTCTTCTTATACTTATCTCCTTGATAGGGTTGAATCTAAGGCAGTCAGACTCATTAATGATCCTTCTCTTACTTCTAATCTGGATTCTCTCTCTCTTCGCTGTAAGGTATCTTCCCTTTTGCTTTTCTATCGCTACTACTTCCATCGCTGCTCAGATGAGTTGGCGAGTTGCATCCCTCCCCCACTGTCGAGGCCGCGTAACACTCGCCAAGTAGCCTCATCTCACAGGTCCTGTGTGGAGATTTGTAGCACGGGGATTGGTCGGTGCAGCGACTACTTCTTCCCATCTACCTCCAGACTCTGGAATTCTCTTCCTCCTTCTGTCTTTCCTAATTCTTATGACCTTCATCCTTCAAAAAGCAGATCTATCATCATCTCAGAGCCTAGTCCTCAATATCTCTGGGTCCTCTGTACTTTGACTGTATTATTCTGTCTGTCGCTTTTCTTTGTGTGACATTACCTAAACTCTGCCTTGTCCTTAACCTTTTTTTCCTTCGTCTTGGTATTTTCTCGTGTCCGGGCCTTTATTGATGAGGGCATTTTCTGCCTCTCCCGGTGTCACACTCATAAAAAAAAAGACTGGCACTCAAAATTTAGTAAAATTTTATTCAAAAAGGGTTTGTCGATTTGAGGATAAAGCCTTAAGAAGAATATTTGATGGCAGGATGGAATGGGAAATGAAACCAAAAGTAAATTACTAAAGCTCCATATGTAGATGAGGTGAGGATGAAGGGGGCATTAGAATGGTTTGGACATGCCTATCGCACCATCCCTGGGAGAATAGTACATTACAATGTCAACTGGGCTGCTCAAGGCAACAGAAGTTTTGGGAGACCTCAGACCTAATTGGATAAGATATAAGAGATGTAAGGCTGGAAATGAAAAGTAATCTTAAGAAGTGAAGACAAAGGAAAAAATGTGATGTAGAATCTGAACAAGGGCCTTTGCACTGCTGGATGCTAGAGGCACAGTAATTATATGTCTTAGGGTCTTGAGTAAAGTATGATTAATATATATATATATATATATATATATATATATATATATATATATATATATATATATATATATATATATATATATATATATATATATATATATATATATATATATATATATATATATATATATATATATATAATCAAATAAGCACATTACCATACGTGAAACTATGAATAATTTACCCCGACCGGGACTTGAACCTGGGACATATAATTACTATGCCAAGGCGCTACCAACTACACCATAGAAGGTCTTAAAAGCGAAACACACCTTACAGCTTTTATCTGCTGTACAGGGATGAACGCATTCTATCTGAATGCTACTCTCTTCATATTACAGTTTCCCCCAACCTCACTTGTTGCTTCGTTTCCGCATTTAACTCTCACTCTCATTCGGGACCAACAATTATCAAATAAGCACAATACCATATGTGAAAACAAGAATAATTTTTACCCCGACCGGGACTTGAACCTGGGACATATAATTACTACGCCAAGGCACTACCAACTACACCACAGAAGGTCTTAAAAGGGAAACACACCTTACAGCTTTTATCTGCTATACATGGATAAATGCATTCTATCTGAATGCCACTCTCTTCATATGACAGATTCCCCCAACCTCACTCGCGGCTTCGTTTTCGCATTTAATTCAACTCCCAATCTCATTCGGGACCAACAATAATCAAATAAGCACATTTACCATATGTGATAACATGAATAATTCTTACCCCGACCGGGACTTGAACCTGGGACATATAATTACTATGCCAAGGTGCTACCAACTACACCACAGAAGGTCTTTAAAGGGAAACACACCTTACAGCTTTTATCTGCTGTACATGGATTAACGCATTCTATCTGAATGCCACTCTGTTTATTGTTGCTCCCAAATGAGATTGAGAGTTGAATTAAATGCGAAAACGAAGCCACGAGTGAGGTTGAGGGAAACTGTAATATGAACAAAGTGACATTTAGATAGAATGCGTTCATCCCTGTATAGCAGATAAAAGCTGTAAGGTGTGTTTCACTTTTAAGACCTTCTGTGGTGTAGCTGGTAGTGCCTTGGCTTAGTAATTATATGTCCCAGATTCAAGTTTCGGTTGGGGTAAAAATTATTCATGTTTTCACATATGGTAAAGTGCCTCTTTGATTATTGTTGGTCCCAAGTGAGATTGGGAGTTGAAGTAAATAGGAAAACGAAGCCACGAGTGAGGTTGGGGGAAACTGTAATATAAACAGAGTAGCATTCACATAGAATGCGTTCATCGCTGTAAAGCAGATAAAAGCTGTAAGGTGTGTTTCCTTTTTAAGACCTTCTGTGGTGTAGTTGGTAGCACCTAGGCATAATAATTATATATCCCAGGTTCAAATCCCGGTAGGGGTAAAAATTATTCATGTTTTCACATACGGTAATGTGCTTATTTGATTATTGTTGGTCCCGAATGAGATTGGGAGTTGAATTAAATGCGAAAATGAAGCCATGAGTGAGGTTGGGAGAAACTGTAATATGAAAAGATTGGCATACACATAGAATGCGTTCATCCCGGTATAGCAGATAAAAGCTGTAAGGTGTGTTTCCCTTTTAAGACCTGTGGTGTAGTTGGTAGCGCCTTGGCATAGTAATTATATGTCCCCGGTTAAAGTTCCGGTCGGTGTAAAAATTATTTATATATATATATATATATATATATATATATATATATATATATATATATATATATATATATATATACTGTGTGTGAGAACGAGTGTGTATGTAGATGTGTGTTTGGACGACATTGGCCTAGGAATTAGAAAACTCAACGCAGAAGGTGACAGACTCGAGATCAAGCCCACCATGGAGCACAAAGAAAGCAATATCCCCACCTTCAATCAATGTGTCCGCCCCCATAATGGGAATTAATATTGAGACATAAAGCGGGAATTACTATATATATATATATATATATATATATATATATATATATATATATATATATATATATATATATATATATATTTACGCCTGTCAAAGGGATTTCTCGCACCTCCTGGCTTGGTGAACTGTGATGGACGAGTGTGAGGGGAGTTGTCATGTGATGAAGCGGTGGAGGTAAACAAACTGCGGCTGTCGGGCCTCATAGTAGAATATCCTTACCGCCTACCTTGTGGGTAACCTAACCAAGGTGGAAGGGGTGAAATGTGGCAACCCTTAATCTCCAAGGAGCTAAGACTAGGGGTTGAAGTATGAGTGGATCATGGAGAATGCACATTTCATGGCCGGTCACCCCCCTTACAAGACTGAATGATCCCAATATATATATATATATATATATATATATATATATATATATATATATATATATATATATATATATATATATATATATATATATATATATATATATCATATTTTACCCCTTGACCGAGACTCGGATTTAAGACATATAATTACTGTGTTAATGTGCTACCAACTACACCACAGTAGTTGGTAGTGCCTTGGCTTAGTAATTATATGTCCCAGATTCAAGTTTCGGTTGGGGTAAAAATTATTCATGTTTTCACATATGGTAAAGTGCCTCTTTGATTATTGTTGGTCCCAAGTGAGATTGGGAGTTGAATTAAATAGGAAAACGAAGCCACGAGTGAGGTTGGGGGAAACTGTAATATAAACAGAGTGGCATTCACATAGAATGCGTTCATCGCTGTAAAGCAGATAAAAGCTGTAAGGTGTGTTTCCTTTTTAAGACCTTCTGTGGTGTAGTTGGTAGCACCTAGGCATAATAATTATATATCCCAGGTTCAAATCCCGGTAGGGGTAAAAATTATTCATGTTTTCACATACGGTAATGTGCTTATTTGATTATTGTTGGTCCCGAATGAGATTGGGAGTTGAATTAAATGCGAAAATGAAGCCATGAGTGAGGTTGGGAGAAACTGTAATATGAAAAGATTGGCATACACATAGAATGCGTTCATCCCGGTATAGCAGATAAAAGCTGTAAGGTGTGTTTCCCTTTTAAGACCTGTGGTGTAGTTGGTAGCGCCTTGGCATAGTAATTATATGTCCCCGGTTAAAGTTCCGGTCGGTGTAAAAATTATTTATTTATATATATATATATATATATATATATATATATATATATATATATATATATATATATACTGTGTGTGAGAACGAGTGTGTATGTAGATGTGTGTTTGGACGACATTGGCCTAGGAATTAGAAAACTCAACGCAGAAGGTGACAGACTCGAGATCAAGCCCACCATGGAGCACAAAGAAAGCAATATCCCCACCTTCAATCAATGTGTCCGCCCCCATGATGGGAATTAATATTGAGACATAAAGCGGGAATTACTATATATATATATATATATATATATATATATATATATATATATATATATATATATATATATATATATATTTACGCGTGTCAAAGGGATTTCTCGCACCTCCTGGCTTGGTGAACTGTGATGGACGAGTGTGAGGGGAGTTGTCATGTGATGAAGCGGTGGAGGTAAACAAACTGCGGCTGTCGGGCCTCATAGTAGAATATCCTTACCGCCTACCTTGTGGGTAACCTAACCAAGGTGGAAGGGGTGAAATGTGGCAACCCTTAATCTCCAAGGAGCTAAGACTAGGGGTTGAAGTATGAGTGGATCATGGTGAATGCGCATTTCATGGCCGGTCACCCCCCTTACAAGACTGAATGATCCCATATATATATATATATATATATATATATATATATATATATATATATATATATATATATATATATATATATATATATATATATATATATATATATATCATATTTTACCCCTTGACCGAGACTCGGATTTAAGACATATAATTACTGTGTTAATGTGCTACCAACTACACCACAGACAGTCTAAGAAAGATGCCAACCTAAAAGTTTAAATGCTTTCCTAGAAAAAACCATTGTTTCTGAAAGCCTTTCTGTTCATATTACAGCTTCTCCCAACCTCACTCGTGGCTTCAATTCGCATTTAATTCAAATCTCAATCTAAATAGGCAATAATAATAATCAAATAAACACATTAAAATATGTGAAAACATGCATTATATTTTATCCCCTGACCGAGACTCGAATATAAGACATATAATCACTGTACCAAGGCGCTACCATGTACACCACAAAGGTCTAAGAGAGAAGCCAACCTCAAATCTTAACTGCTTTGCTAGGAATTAATAATATTTTCTGAATGCCATTTTGTTCATATTACAGCTTCTCTCAATCGCGGTAGTGGCTTCGTTTCCATATTTAATTCAAATCTCAATCTACTCAGGCATCAATAAAAATCAAATAAACACATTACCATTTGTGAAAACATGAATCATATTTTCCTGTGCCAAGGGGCCAACCTTATAGCTAACTGCTATACTAGGAATGAACACATTCTTTCTGAATCCCTTTTTGCTCATATTACTCGTGGCTTCTTTTTTGCATTTAATTCAAATCACATTCTATATAATAATAATCGAAGGTGTTTTGGACTTAAGCACGACTGTCCAGGACAGTTTGATGTTAAGTCATCCTTTAGTTACGGTTCTATTTCTATGCCTATATCTACAGCGAATATTCTTGGATGTTCATTACACATCTCTTATTATCCCTACACATCTGACTAGTCACAACACTCTCCATTTCTATTTACTTTGTTTTCTTCGTGCCAAGCTTCGATGAGGGCAGTTTTATTTTTTTACCGGTCCTGGTGTCACACTCCTAAATAAAAAAATAAATAAAAACATATGTGAAAGCATGAATCATATTTTACCCCTTGACCGGGACTCGAAATTAAGACACATAATTACTGTGCCAAGGCGCTACCAACCACACCACTGAATGTCTAAAAAAGAAGCCACCCTTACAGCTAACTGCTGTACAAGGAATTAATGCATTCTTTCTGAATGTTTTTTTGTCCCTTTTACACCTTATCCAAACCTCACTCGTGACTTCGTTTTTGCATTTAATTCAAATCCTAATCTAAACAGGCATCAATAAATAATCAAATGAACGCATTACCATATGTGAAAACATGAATCATGTTACCCATTGATTCATGTTTTTACATATGTTAATGTTTATTTGATTAACACGAAGAAAAGTAAAAGGGTAAGGACAAGGCAGATATGAGGTAATGATAAACAATACGAAAAGGACAGGTTGAAAGAATAGTCGAAGTACTGAGGACCTAGAGATATGGCAGGATTAGGCCCTGGGATAACAATAGATCAGTTTTTTGAAGGAGGATAGGTTATTAAATCAGGAAAGACCGGAGGAGGAAGGATTCCAGAGTCTGGAGGTAGATGGGAAGAAGCAGTCAGTCCACCTACCAATCCAAGAGCTATAAATATATTCCCTCTGAGGGAGAGGGGCTAGAATACTTCTTCCATGTTCCCCTGCGTGTCGTAGGAGTCGATTAAATGGGGTGGAGCGAGAGGGTTGATAATCCCCTCCTCTGTATATTCTTTAGGGGAAAAATGGCTCATATATATATATATATATATATATATATATATATATATATATATATATATATATATATATATATATATAGACAAGTGAATATAAGATGATAATAGAACATTAGTATTTTGTTTAATTCGGGAGAGAGAGAGAGAGAGAGAGAGAGAGAGAGAGAGAGAGAGAGAGAGAGAGAGAGAGAGAGAGAGAGAGAGAGAGAGAGAGAGAGAGAGAGAGAGAGAGAGAGAGAGAGAGAGAGAGAGAGAGAGAGAGAGAGAGAGAGAGAGAGAGAGAGAGAGACTGCGTGGTTTTAACATATGGAAATTAAATGCATGCATTTATAAATTTAACTACGTAATCAATTACTTTTGCAGACATGTATCCAGTAATGCTGTAGATGGCGATGACACGACACAATATCACTCAACTCGGACAACTGCATATTGGTACATCGACCTAGAAAACATTTATCTTCCTCTACGGATCGAAATTCTCCCAATCTCTGGCCGCTTCAATGAAGTTCAGGTAAGGCATTATGCTCTCTCTCTCTCTCTCTCTCTCTCTAGAATGATTGGTGGCAACAATATGAGTGACTGAGCAATGACGATATTACAAAGGAGAGTGCTACGGAGGCAAAGACTAGGTTTTCTTATGTTCAAAGAAAAGAGCAGTTTGCAACGAATCCAATCAAAAAGTCACAGGAAAATTGTATAACCCAAACCAACCTAACCTAACCTACTTAACCTAATCTGGGAAACTTTACCTGTTACTTTAATACAGGGCATGTCTGACACAGCACAAGTATCTACAGATTTTTTTTAAAGCAGATAAAGTAAGTATGGGTGTCTTGGGTAGATCATTATTACTGTCAGTAAAACTACTGACACTATTCTATTGGTGTGAACTACTACGTCCATATGATGGACACACCGACAGTAATAATGACAGTACAGGGAAATACTGTCAGTAATATTGATCGTCTGTTTAGCCCTCTACACACAGTTTTCATTTTGCCTTCACGAACAAAAGCGAAATAATAGGGCAGAAAATAAGGGTTTAATGGTAATGCACATAAATACTGGAGAAGCAAATATATTGCCAAAACTCCGGTCTATTCCTGTTTACAGTTTCATTTTTGTCGTGTGTGTGAACAGACTCTGACATGCTATGGCAGGGATTTGATCTATTATACAGGGATTATGAACACTTTTAAATATGTCAGTAACCTTTTTTTTTTTTGCCCCATTTGGAAATGCTTAAGTTCTTTTGTATTTCTGATCCACTTTCATATAGAAATGGAGGGCAAATTTTTATCTATGGTATTCAAGAGTAGGATAGGACCGGCTCTTGTGTAGGTAGGATTAGTAGGATTTTCTTCTTTTCAGCTTGGATCTATATTTCCTAATTCCTATTTAGAAATATAGATAAGCATCTATCAAAGACATCTAATTTTTATGAGACCACTCAAGTAATTTTTCATTACAAGTCTGCCTTTTTCCTTCGTGCTCTGATGAGGGCGGAAAAAAGCTTACATATGCGAATTTTAACGTGATCATTTTTCTCTTTTAACTCGACAGTATATATATATATATATATATATATATATATAATATATATATATATATATATATATATATATATATTATATGCAGTACATATGTATGTATATATATATATATATATATATATATATATATATATATATATATATATATATATATATATATATATATATATATATATATATATATATATATATATATATATATATATATATATATATATATATATATATATATATATATATATATATATAATATATATATATATATATATATATATATATATATATATATATATATATATATATATATATATATATATATATATATATATATATATATATATATATATATATATATATATATATATATATATATATATATATATATGTATATATATATATATATATATATATATATATATATATATATATATATATATATATAATATAATATAATATAGATATATATATATATACATATATATATACATATATATATATATATATATATATATATATATATATATATATATATATATATATATATATATATATATATATATATATATATGTATATATATATATATATATATATATATATTATATATATATATATATATATTATATATATATATATACAGTACATATATATATATATATATATATATATATATATATATATATATATATATATATATATATATATATATATATATATATATATATAATATAATATATATATATATATTATATATATATT